ATAGTCTAGGGCAGCTGCACTAATGCAGATGTACCTCATGTATTAATAATAAAAAAAAGGTTCAGACTTTACATTATTAACAAAGAAGTTTAAGGTGTAATAAATTATGCGGAACTGTTCATTAGTCTTTCACAAGTGTGATTATTCCTGATTTTTGTGAGGGACACAACCAGTAATAACTTGGTGGTGGGGGGGGGGGGGGGTAAATACACGACCAGAGGGGAAAAGTACAATGGAATGGGAGATGGGAAAGGGAGGGGTGGAAGAGAGAGAGAGGTGGGAGGGGGAGAGAGATACAGAGGGAACTCCAATCAATACATGACAACTGTAGCTTACTGAATCATAGACCCGATTAGGTGTTAAGCCCAGGGTTAGGCCTATCGACCGCGACGGTGGGTAAAGCCGCCACTAAAGCTTTACCAGTGGGGACAGGATGGCAGCTGTTGCCATAACCGCTAGAGATGGCAACCTTGCTGGTGGTCATGGTTGGAACAGTGGTTAACCCCCTAGTTTCTTGGCGCACAATATGGCAATAGTTGATACTAGCACATGGCCCCGGGGACACCAGCCTGGGCCCCCCGGGGGACACCAGCCTGGGCCCCCCGGGGAGGGACACCAGCCTGGGCCCCCGGGGACACCAGCCCCCCCGGGGGACACCAGCCTGGGCCCCCCCGGGGGACACCAGCCTGGGACACCAGCCTGGGCCCCCCGGGGACACCAGCCTGGGCCCCCCGGGGACACCAGCCCCCCGGGGCACCCCCTGGCCCCCCCCGGGGACACCAGCCTGGGCCCCCCCCCCCCGGGGAACCCAGGGGGGGGGACACCAGCCAGGGCCCCCCGGGGGACACCAGCCTGGGCCCCCCGGGGGACACCAGCCTGGGCCCCCCGGGGGACACCAGCCTGGGCCCCCCGGGGGACACCAGCCTGGGCCCCCCGGGGGACACCAGCCTGGGCCCCCCGGGGGACACCAGCCTGGGACACCAGCCCCCCCGGGGGACACCAGCCTGGCCCCCCCCGGGGAACACACCAGCCTGGGCCCCCCGGGGGACACCAGCCTGGGCCCCCCGGGGACACCAGCCTGGGCCCCCCGGGGGACACCAGCCTGGGCCCCCCGGGGCACACCAGCCTGGGCCCCCCGGGGGACACCAGCCTGGGCCCCCGGGGGACACCAGCCTGGACCCCCCCCCGGGGCACACCAGCCAGGGCCCCCCCGGGGGACACCAGCCTGGGCCCCCGGGGCACACCAGCCTGGGCCCCCCGGGGAACACCAGCCTGGGCCCCCGGGGGACACCAGCCTGGGCCCCCCCCCGGGGCACACCAGCCTGGCCCCCCCGGGGGACACCAGCCTGGGCCCCCCGGGGGACACCAGCCTGGGCCCCCCCCGGGGCACACCAGCCTGGGCCCCCCCCGGGGCACACCAGCCTGGGCCCCCCCGGGGGACACCAGCCTGGGCCCCCCGGGGGACACCAGCCTGGGCCCCCCGGGGGACACCAGCCTGGGCCCCCCCGGGGCACACCAGCCTGGCCCCCCCGGGGAACACCAGCCTGGGCCCCAGGGGGACACCATCCTGGGCCCCCCGGGGAACACCAGCCTGGCCCCCGGGGGACACCAGCCTGGGCCCCAGGGGGACACCAGCCTGGGCCCCCCCGGGGGACACCAGCCTGGGCCCCCCCGGGGGACACCAGCCTGGGCCCCCCGGGGGACACCAGCCTGGGCCCCCCCCGGGGGACACCAGCCTGGGCCCCCCCCGGGGGACACCAGCCTGGGCCCCCCCGGGGGACACCAGCCTGGGCCCCCCGGGGGACACCAGCCTGGGCCCCCGGGGGACACCAGCCTGGGCCCCCCCGGGGGACACCAGCCTGGGCCCCCCGGGACACCAGCCTGGGCCCCAGGGGGACACCCCTGGGCCCCCGGGGACACCAGCCTGGGACACCAGCCCCCCCCGGGGGACACCAGCCTGGGCCCCCCCGGGGGACACCAGCCTGGGCCCCCCCCCCCGGGGGACACCAGCCTGGGCCCCCGGTGGACACCAGCCTGTGACCCCCCCGGGGGACACCAGCCTGGGCCCCCGGGGGACACCAGCCTGGTCCCCCGGGGGAGACACCAGCCTGTGACACCCCGGGGGGGGAACACCCGTCTCCCTGGCTTACACGACAAAGGCGCCTCAAACATTTAAAATCTTGCGTGTTATAAAATAATTAATCCACCTACAATTAATTTGTCTGGGCCTCTCGCTGGCACTAGTGCGACGCCCGCAACAACCGCCCCCCCCCTCCCTCCCTCCACCCTCCCCCCCACACACACACTGGCACTCCCAGGCAAATTCATTATTAGTGCCACAAAATGGGGCAGTCGGCATAAAAAGCATTTCAGGCCCGTATTGTAATGGAATTTTAAATTGCTCGCCCAGCGTAAAATACCTGACTGCTCTCTCCGGGTGTGATCTATCACGCGATAATTTCATTACATTTTCTCCCCTATCCCCCTTACCCCTTACCCCTAACCCCTTCCCCTAGCCCCGCTCCCGACCTCGAGAGAGATATATGTACACACAACACACAGGGCGAGCACCATGAGGTATGATCAAGGGAGCGGCAGCTGTCAGTCAGTGAAGGCCCGCCATCCCGTACGGACACGGGCGTTCTTCATTTGTTTTTGCTGCTGCTGGTGGTGGTGGTAGTGGTGGTGGTGGTGGTGGTGGTGGTGGTGGTGCTGCTGCTGGTAGTGGTGGTGGTGGTGGTGCTGCTGCTGCTGCTGCTGCTGCTGCTGCTGCTGCTGCTGAGCATTCTGGGCGAGAACGACTATGAGAGGGTGAAGGGAGGGGGGAAGGGATGGAATGTGTGTAACTTAATTTTATTCAGTTGTGATGACCATTGTGGGGGAGTTCTGAACTTCACAAATGGTAGAGTGTGACAGGAAGGAATACACAGTGGGAGAGAGAGATGAGAGCATGATATAGTGTCGTACCGTGTGATATGACACCAGTGGCATCTATGGTGTGTTGCTGACACTATGTGTGTGTATACTCACCTAGTTGTGCTTGCGGGGGTTGAGCTCTGGCTCTTTGGTCCCGCCTCTCAACCGTCAATCAACAGGTGTACAGGTTTCTGAGCCTATTGGGCTCTATCATATCTACACTTGAAACTGTGTATGGAGTCAGCCTCCACCACATTGCTTCCTAATGCATTCCATTTGTCAACCACTCTGACACTAAAAAAGTTCTTTCTAATATTTCTGTGGCTCATTTGGGCACTCAGTTTCCACATGTGTCCCCTAGTGCGTGTGCCCAGTGTGTGTGTGTGTGTGTGTGTGTGTGTGTGTGTGGCTGACAAAAAATAAGAAGAGGGAATATGTGTTGTTCCCGTGTGCGAAGGAAAGTTTATCATTCAATTTATTGGACTGACGCATTGTCAGAATTTTTGAATAACAGACGACTGCTGGCGTTGGGGTTGTTGTGGTGGTGGTGGTGGAGGGGTTCCTGGGGTCAGCTGGGGGGGGAGCTGGGAGGGAGGGAGGGGGGAAGGGGGGAGAGAGAGGGAGGGAGGGAGGGGGGAAGGGGGGAGAGAGAGGGAGGGAGGGAGGGAGGGAGGGAGGGAAGGGTAAACAGGGTCGACAAAGTTTAATTGGGTGAGATGAGCAGGTTTACCTGTTGGTACTTAAGGACTTCAACATTTCTAATATAACGAAGGATAAGCTTACCATACTGAGCGAGAGCTAAGGGTTTAGGGAGTAAGAGTGTCACCGGAGATACGCGCACACGTGCACGCACTCAAAGGATCACATCACTATATGCTGAGCTAGCCAACAGGCTGAGAGCAATTAAGAGAAGGATGTGTGAAGACTACTGGACACAGCCAATGTCCAACCCGTGTTAGTATTCAGCACCATCCTGGAGCCTCAACATCAACAATATACCACAGTTCTGGAGAAGATACAAGCCTGGTCCTAATGAGGGAGGGAACAAGCATAGACTCGGTCAGCTGAACCCTAAGAACTTTGGCACATAAGTGAAAATTAGTGACATGATTCTGATGCACAAAATACCCCGGGAGTAAGTAGGAAATAAGAGAGAGGATGTGTAGAGTGAGCAGCAACATCACCAGAGGACTTGACATATGAGCAGGCAAGTGGCACTATGAATATTCAAGAGTCAGGCGGGGACCAAGAGCCGATGCTCAACACCTCCCAGCACATCTAGGCCAATACACACATGCTAGGTAAGCACCCGGAACAACCGTGGACATCTTCAAGAGAAAACTGGACGGTTTTCTAAGAGAAGTTCCGGATCAGCCGGGCTGTGGTGGGTACGTGGCCCTGCGGGCCGCTCCAAGCAACAGCCTGGTGGACCAAACTCTCACAAGTCGAGCCTGGCCTCGGGCCGGGCTTGGGGAGTAGAAGAACTCCCAGAACCCCATCAACCAGGTATCAACCCATAAAGCTATTCCAATTATACGTATATACTCTTTTTCTTTAAAGTATAAATGGCCGCCCGTCACAATGAAGTGGAGACCTCGCAGGCACACGGCGAGACACAAAAACACCAGACCAGACCAGAATATTAACTACCTGGTATCAATCACGCCAGCGAGGGGAAAAAATTATTTTACTGTGTTGATGGCAAAGGCGTAAGAGTCGCTTGGAGTAGGGCGTCAGAGAGCATCAGACCCATAAGGGCCATGATTAACGCACCTAAAGAGCGCGTCACAGCCCTGGTGTACCGTGCTGGTGTACCGTGCTGGTGTACCGTGCTGGTGTACCTTGCTGGTGTACCGTGCTGGTGTACCGTGCTGGTGTACCGTGCTGGTGTACCTTGCTGGCGTACCGTGCTGGTGTACCGTGCTGGTGTACCGTGCTGGTGTACCGTGCTGGTGTACCGTGCTGGTGTAACGTGCTGGTGTACCGTGTTGGTGTACCGTGCTGGTGTACCGTGCTGGTGTACCGTGTTGGTGTACCGTGCTGGTGTACCGTGTTGGTGTACCGTGCTGGTGTATGGTGACTACCTTCTGCTAGCCGTGGTCGAGCAGTGGTGGAGCCCATGAGGACATCAGTGGTGGAGCCCATGAGGACATCAGTGGTGGAGCCCATGAGGACATCAGTGGTGGAGCCCATGAGGACATCAGTGGTGGAGCCCATGAGGACATCAGTGGTGGAGCCCATGAGGACATCAGTGGTGGAGCCCATTAGGACATCAGTGGTGGAGCCCATGAGGACATCAGTGGTGGAGCCCATGAGGACATCAGTGGGGGAGCCCATGAGGACATCAGTGGGGGAGCCCATGAGGACATCAGTGGTGGAGCCCATGAGGACATCAGTGGTGGAGCCCATGAGGACATCAGTGGTGGAGCCCATGAGGACATCAGTGGTGGAGCCCATGAGGACATCAGTGGTGGAGCCCATGAGGACATCAGTGGTGGAGCCCATGAGATCAGTGGTGGAGCCCATGAGGACATCAGTGGTGGAGCCCATGAGGACATCAGTGGTGGAGCCCATGAGGACATCAGTGGTGGAGCCCATGAGGACATCAGTGGTGGAGCCCATGAGGACATCAGTGGTGGAGCCCATGAGGACATCAGTGGTGGAGCCCATGAGGACATCAGTGGTGGAGCCCATGAGGACATCAGTGGTGGAGCCCATGAGGACATCCGTGGTGGAGCCCATGAGGACATCAGTGGTGGAGCCCATGAGGACATCAGTGGTGGAGCCCATGAGGACATCCGTGGTCATGCATTATTCTCGACACCACCTCTTATGAAGCCGTCAGCTGCGTCCCTCTCAAGTACTCGCTCCTGCATGTTGGAACACCCGAGAATGACCACACATGCAGTAACATACACAAGCAGGTGTATGGAAGGTCGTAACATACACAAGCAGGTGTATGGAAGGTCGTAACATACACGAGCAGGTGTATGGAAGGTCGTAACATACACGAGCAGGTGTATGGAAGGTCGTAACATACACAAGCAGGTGTATGGAAGGTCGTAACATACACAAGCAGGTGTATGGAAGGTCGTAACATACACCAAGGAGCGTATGGAAGGGCGTAACATACACCAAGGAGCGTATGGATGGTCGTAACATACACCAAGGAGCGTATGGAAGGGCGTAACATACACCAAGGAGCGTATGGAAGGGCGTAACATACACCAAGGAGCGTATGGAAGGGCGTAACATACACCAAGAAGCGTATGAAAGGGCGTAACATACACCAAGAAGCGTATGAAAGGGCGTAACATACACCAAGAAGCGTATGGAAGGGCGTAACATACACCAAGGAGCGTATGGAAGGGCGTAACATACATCAAGGAGCGTATGGAAGGTCGTAACATACACCAAGGAGCGTATGGAAGGGCGTAACATACACCAAGGAGCGTATGGAAGGGCGTAACATACACCAAGAAGCGTAATATATATTACCACCTTGGTACATTACCAAGATGATAATATACTCAAGGGAGCGTAGTGAACAGTGTCTCCACTACCCACACATTGAGACCATTCCCAACTGGAGACACAGTTGTGTCAGCTTGTCTCAGCTAATTCCACAAGAACATAAAAAAATCGCTGGTACAGTCCAAGTAATTCAGTTGCTAATAATCTCTACTCTTCTCTCAGGAAATATGCAGATGCCACGAATTCTCTCTCTTGGATGTCATTAAACCTGGATATGTTTTCAGTCATGTAGGATTAATATATCCTGTAGATTATACATTTAATATATTTATGGTTTGGCAGTCTAATGCTTTATTATAAAACTATTATAGAGTGCAGGGCAATGAATAGCTGATGATTTAAGCTAATGGCGCCTGTTGGTAATTCCGAAAAAGACATGTAGTTACGCAGATTAAATAGTTTTAAGAAATGTTAAACGCTGTAAGTGTTGTTTTTAGTTTATTTTATACGTCAAAACAAATTGTGACCAAGTAGGCGTGAGAAGGCAGTTGTTTTATAAGTTCCGACTGATTAACTCTCAAGTCCCTTCAGAAATTTTAAGTTGCCTTTTGTCATTCTAAGAATTTAAATCACTCCCGAAGACGTTCATATTGTTACACACTGTATACCTTGTGGTACTGTGGTGGAGGCTCCATAGGCAACTACCATCCAAGCAGCCAACTACCACCCAAGCAGCCAACTACCACCCAAGCAGCCAACTACCACCCAAGCAGCCAACTACCACCCAAGCAGCCAACTACAACCCAAGCAGCCAACTACCACCCAAGCAGCCAACTACCACCCAAGCAGCCAACTACCACCCAAGCAGCCAACTACCACCCAAGCAGCCAACTACCATCCAAGCAGCCAACTACAACCCAAGCAGCCAACTACCACCCAAGCAGCCAACTACCATCCAAGCAGCCAACTACAACCCAAGCAGCCAACTACCACCCAAGCAGCCAACTACCACCCAAGCAGCCAACTACCACCCAAGCAGCCAACTACCACCCAAGCAGCCAACTACCACCCAAGCAGCCAACTACAACCCAAGCAGCCAACTACCACCCAAGCAGCCAACTACCATCCAAGCAGCCAACTACCACCCAAGCAGCCAACTACCACCCAAGCAGCCAACTACCACCCAAGCAGCCAACTACCACCCAAGCAGCCAACTACCACCCAAGCAGCCAACTACAACCCAAGCAGCCAACTACCACCCAAGCAGCCAACTACCACCCAAGCAGCCAACTACCACCCAAGCAGCCAACTACAACCCAAGCAGCCAACTACCACCCAAGCAGCCAACTACCACCACCCAAGCAGCCAACTACCACCACCCAAGTAGCCAACTACCACCACCCAAGCAGCCAACTACCACCACCCAAGCAGCCAACTACCACCACCCAAGCAGCCAACTACCACCACCCAAGCAGCCAACTACCACCACCCAAGCAGCCAACTACCACCACCCAAGCAGCCAACTACCACCACCCAAGCAGCCAACTACCACCACCCAAGCAGCCAACTACCACCACCCAAGCAGCCAACTACCACCACCCAAGCAGCCAACTACCACCACCCAAGCAGCCAACTACCACCACCCAAGCAGCCAACTACCACCACCCAAGCAGCCAACTACCACCACCCAAGCAGCCAACCACCACCCAAGCAGCCAACCACCACCCAGGCAGCCAACCACCACCCAAGCAGCCAACTACCACCCAGGCAGCCAACCACCACCCAAGCAGCCAACTACCACCACCCAAGCAGCCAACTACCACCACCCAAGCAGCCAACTACCACCCAAGCAGCCAACTACCACCCAGGCAGCCAACCACCACCCAAGCAGCCAACTACCACCACTCAAGCAGCCAACTACCACCACCCAAGCAGCCAACTACCACCCAGGCAGCCAACCACCACCCAGGCAGCCAACCACCACCCAAGCAGCCAACTACCACCCAGGCAGCCAACCACCACCCAAGCAGCCAACTACCACCACCCAAGCAGCCAACTACCACCCAGGCAGCCAACTACCACCACCCAAGCAGCCAACTACCACCACCCAAGCAGCCAACTACCACCACCCAAGCAGCCAACTACCACCACCCAAGCAGCCAGCAGCCAGCTCCGTGATCCCGGGGAGCGCGCTGAGATATGAGGACAAGACATATATGGAGGTCTTCATTATTATTATTTTATAATGTATGGTGAGATACAGTTCCCTCAGTCGTACTAATGACACTGAACTACAGGAAGTGTAGTACTCACCGCAGATAGTTAGAATACGTGAGTAGGTGGTGGCAGTGAAGTGTGTGAGAGTGGTGGATGATGACCAGAGAGCAGAGAGAGGGAGAGTACAAGGAGGAGGCAATAGGGTGACAGGGGTGGCAGGAGGCGGCAATAGGGTGACTGGGGGGGTAGCAGGAGGCAATAGGGTGACTGGGGGAGGGAGGGGAAGGAGGGGGACGAACCGAAGGGTGAGGCTGCTGCTGCATTATGCATGCCTCAATCGGCTGGGATTCATTGAGGAATTGGGAAGCAGACCTGACCGGACGCTTCTCTCACTCCCTACCACCAACTACAGCCTGGCCGAACTAACGGCCATGTAGGTGCAAATACGCACAAACACGACAAACTTTGCAACTTGATTTCTTTGTTTGGTAAGACATTTTTTTGGAATTGTGTATTTTTCTCCGTGACGGCAAGGTTCAGTGGCCAGGGCATGTGTGGTGCTGCTGCTGCTGCTTGCTTCTCTATTTGGTAACTGAGAGTGGATATGGTGGGTATTGAGGTTAATTGCTCTAACCTCCAATTAGTGCCAGCTGACCCCTTCCCTACCCCCTCAAGCAGCCAGCCAGCACTAACATCACTCCCGTTCTGAGAGCGATCAGTAGTCAAATATTTGGTGTTACGGAGAAACCAACTTTACAAGTCAAGTTAACATGGATTTAGAGCAAGATACGTATGGATCTCCCAGGTCCTCAACCACCGTGATAAAATCACGGAAGCACTAGGAAATAAAAGGCGTTTAATAAATGTGAGCAAGTAGTGACAAGCCATAAACTGAGGTCCAGAGGTGTGTCAGAGGTGGGGGGGGGGATGGATATCAACCAGGTGACCAACAACACTCCACCCCACATGCCACCCAATCGTCAAACGAACTAACCGAATGTTGCAAAATTATAATCAACTAACGATCCGTCCGCCATACTAGACAACCGCTTAATGAACCAGCCAACTACCACCCAAGCAGCCAACTACCACCCAAGCAGCCAACTACCACCCAAGCAGCCAACTACCACCCAAGCAGCCAACTACCACCCAAGCAGCCAACTACCACCCAAGCAGCCAACTACCACCCAAGCAGCCAACTACCACCCAAGCAGCCAACTACCACCCAAGCAGCCAACTACCGCCCAAGCAGCCAACTACCGCCCAAGCAGCCAACCACCGGCCAAGCAGCCAACCACCGCCCAAGCAGCCAACTACCGCCCAAGCAGCCAACTACCACCCAAGCAGCCAACTACCACCCAAGCAGCCAACCACCCCCAAGCAGCCAACCACCATCCAAGCAGCCAACCACCATCCAAGCAGCCAACCACCATCCAAGCAGCCAACCACCATCCAAGCAGCCAACCACCACCCAAGCAGCCAACCACCACCCAAGCAGCCAACCACCATCCAAGCAGCCAACCACCATCCAAGCAGCCAACCACCACCCAAGCAGCCAACTACCACCCAAGCAGCCAACCACCACCCAAGCAGCCAACCACCACCCAAGCAGCCAACCACCACCCAAGCAGCCAACCACCACCCAAGCAGCCAGCAGTCAGCCAACGGGGGCACGACTCCTGAATGATTGAATGAGACCAACACACAGGGCTGCAGATCTGTCACAACTGCCGTCAATGTTGCTTCCGATAATATTCAAGAGATGTACGCAGGGCGTTCAACTCCCGCCTGCTGCAGCAGCCGGCAGTATGCAAAGCAGCCAGCAACTGCCAGCAACGGCAGAGCGCCACTCCATAAACAGACGTCCGTCACTTTTCCAGACATCGTGTCGCATTCTTTTCCTCATAAACCACTAAGAACCGAGCAAAATCTATTTTCCCCATATGTTAGCACAAGTAGCTGACGTAAACGTTGTCCTCCCATCATGTTGAGGAAGATTAAGCCACCGCAAGAGGTGGCACGGGCATGAATAGCCCGTAAAGTCTCTCCATCATGAAGTTAGGTGGACTTGTATAAGCTAGGTCAATCTTTTGTTGTAATGTGTAATGCCACAGGCGTGAGGCTATCCGGGTAGACTGTGTTCTTTGCTCCAGCGTGGCTCATGATTTCATGGACGGGTTGACCAGTCCAGCAACGAGGAGGCCTGATCGACGACCGGGCCGCGGGGTCGCTGAGCCCCGAAATCACCTCAAGGTAACCTCAAGGTAAGGTATGATCCATGGTGGAGGCGGTGTTATGTCGCAGACACGCTTGACTGCCACTGGAACTGGCTCTCTTGTCTTTGTTGATGATGTGACTGCTGATGGTAGGGGCGGGATGTGCTTGCTGCTATCCCAAGCGCATAGCAGCAACGCATTGCAGGCGATGAGTCACAATAACGTGGCTAAAGTAAGTTGACCAGACCACACACTAGAAGGTGAAAGGACGACGACGTTTCGGTCCGTCCTGGACCATTCTCAAATCGATTTGAGAATGGTCCAGGACGGACCGAAACGTCGTCGTCCCTTCACCTTCTAGTGTGTTGTCTGGTCAGCAACGCATTGCTCACATCCAAGTATATGTCTCTAAACTCATTGCATGGGTCGGTCTGCTTGCGTGCGTGCGTATACGCGCATGTGCGTGCCAATAGGAACTTTGCTGTTCCTCTGAGTTTCCAAGCTGTTATCCCGTCACCTACTGCGTCCCATGTTCTATAAATTATAAAAGTTTGGGAGATAGAAACCGAGGGTGAAGTATGTGTTGAACAGTGCACATCTATGATCTACACACAGTTTATGTATGCACATATATAATCATTGCTTCATGCCGTTTTCTAACATTATTTTTTGTATCCCTTCAGGTGAGTGAGATGCTGGGTGGTGGAGAGTGGCCCGGGCCGCTCACGTCTCCAAGATGGCCAGAGAGTCCTTCATGAACTACGCCGCCTCCCTCAGTCTCCTGCACCACAACATGGGAACACTCTTAAGTCTCTCCGGGTATTCTCCTCCCGTTCCTTCTCCAGCCTCCCCAATACCCTCTCCTCCCTACCCGATCATGCCCTCACCCCCCCCCCACCTCCTTTGCCTTGCATTCAACTGGTGGATTTTTTTGTTTGAGGAGGCTTTGGTTAAAGAAACTGGAGAGGTACATGTGAACTAAAATGTTTAGAAATGAGATAGATAGTATGAGTTGTGGTGGTAGGCGGGCTGTCCGCCGTGCTGACACGGTGTGTGTGGTTGGTTGGTAAGCTAAGCTTGCTCTCTCTTGTCAGGGAGCTGGGGGTGTTTGTAAACAAAAAATATCAACATACATGGATGTATATAGATGAATACTGTGCAGCATTCGCATATACACACATGAAAAGTACACAGTATTCATCAACGCTACACAGTATTCATCTTTAGACACATATATTGAAATACATGTGAAAAACCTGACACACAATCGCAGCTCGGGTGATTGTGCACATCTTTTGATGTTCCAGTCAAAGGTCTAAATTTTGTGCAGGAGCCGGGGGATTCTGGTGTGTATTTCATCTTTAAATTATGTATTGAGGGACTTAGGTTCCGTCAAGTAGATCTAAGCTCTTGGGCCACCAGGTGTGTGGGAGTGGGGCGTCAGGTCTCGGAGTAATGTTTCTAGCACTGGGTGTCTTAATATTTCGATGGTGTTCTACACCCTGGTGGCTTGCTGTTGTGGTCTCGTGTCCAGTGGTGGTGTGTTCAGGAGTTCCTGCATTGTCTGGTCATATGGTGGACGGTGTTGTGCTGCTATTTTGAACAGCTTCGGGGAGTGTGATGGAGGATAGAGGCGATGAACTCCACCTGTATCTGGGGATACAGGGGAGATACCAGCAGCACTTAAATCTGCAGATATAGCTCCGTTGCACAAGGGGAGAGTAAAGCCTTGGCAAAAAATTGTAGACCAGTTGCACTAACATCAGACATAATAAAAGTGTTTGAAAGAGGGATTAGGAATCAAATTTCTAGTTTTATGGAAAACAATGAGTTGCACAACCCAAGACAACATGGATTTAGAGCGGGAAGATCCTGTCTGTCACAGTTACTCAACCACTATGACCAAATCACAGAAGCCCTAGAAGAAAAGCAAAATGCAGATGTTGTATACACAGACTTTGCAAAGGAGTTCTACAAATGTGACCATGGGGTGATAGCACACAAAATGAGGTCAGTGGGAATAACTGGAAAAGTAGGACGCTGGATACTCAATTTTCTGTCGAACAGAACACAAAGAGTAACAGTCAATCAAATAACATCGAGTCCAAGCGATGTTAAAAGCTCTGTACCTCAAGGTACAGTCCTTACACCGCTACTGTTCCTTGTTCTCATATCAGATATAGACAAAAATACAAGTCACAGCTTCGTGTCGTCCTTTGCAGATGACACAAAAATCAGCATGAAAATTACCTCTGCTGAAGACATTGAAAAACTACAAGCAGATGTCAACAAAGTTTTCGATTGGGTAGCAGAAAATAACATGATGTTTAACAGTGATAAATTTCAAGTACGGCAAAAATGAGGATGTGAAACATAATACAGGGTACAAAACACAATCGAATCTTCCCATAGTAGAAAAACAGCATGTCAAGGATTTGGGAATAATGATGTCCGACGATCTAACGTTTAGGGAGCATAACCAAGCAAATATTGTGTCAGCCAGAAAAATGATCGGATGGATTACGAGAACTTTCTAATCCAGGGATCCCATCACAATGGTTGTACTCTTCAAGTCACTTGTGTTGTCCTGTCTCGAGTACTGCTCAGTACTCACTTCCCCCTTTAGAGCAGGAGAGATTGCTGAAATAGAGGGAATACAGAGAACATATACGGCACGCATAGACGAGATAAAACACCTAAATTATTGGGATCGTCTCAAAGCTCTCCATATGTACTCACTAGAAAGGAGACGAGAGAGATACCAAATAATATACACATGGAAAATACTGGAGGGCCAGGTCCCAAATCTACACAGTAAAATAACAACGTACTGGAGTGAACGATAAGGAAGAAAATGCAAGATTGAACCAGTGAAGAGCAGAGGTGCCATAGGCACAATCAGAGAACACTGTATAAACATCAGAGGTCCGCGGTTGTTCAACGTCCTCCCAGCGACTATAAGAAATATTGCCGGAACAACCGTGGACATCAAGACAAAACTAGATATGTGGGCCACTGCAAGCAACAGCCTAGTGGACCAAACTCTCACAAGTCGATCCTGGCCTCGGGCTGGGCTTGAGGACTAGACGAACTCCCAGAACCCCATCAAGCAGGTAAGCAGAGGAGAGATTGGCTGAGATTGGCTATTGTCCAGGCAGCTAGCTTTAGATCTGGGAATACTGGCCAGTGTTGTGACCCCCATGTAGCCACGGTGGAACGAGTCTACTTACTGAGAGAGTTTTTCTACCTGCCGGACGCGAGATTGAGAGATCAGAGGAAAGATGTATACATTAAATAATTAAATGGACGTCACTGAGTTATCTCAGGGTACTAGCAGAGGATGGGCGTTGGTAATAAGTGACATGAAGTGAGATGTCGATACTTTGGGGACGTGAAGTGACGCTAGCAGGAGGTCGTGACCTGACTTGAGTCGTGACCGTCGTCAGAGGTGGTTGTACTTCGTTGATTCTCCCGGAATAAGGAAGAATATAATTCCCTGTGTTAGTGCCGGAGTGAAGACTACTTGTCTGCAAGTGTGAGGAGGCTGTTGGGGACGTAGTACACCATTTCTCTGTGATTTTGATAATTAGAGGCGACCTGAAGTGAGTGTTTGGCCGCGCCTTGGTGGAGCTGTAATTGTGTTGATTCCTCAAGAGGAAGGAAGCTAGCAGGTGTTCCTGTGGTGGAGCCTGCTGGGTGACGTTATGAACTCAAGTCGTGGACTGAAGGAAGTCCTGTGAGGGAGTCCTGAAGCAGTTTATGCTAGGGAGCGTCACGTTGGAGCTCCAGTGAGTGAGCGTCATCACGTCAGAGAATTCTGCGGTAAGCTCATATAACAGTTGTTACAGTGGTTGCCTGTGTTTGATCATGGCAGGTGTTTATGTATATAGTACATATATGTTATTAAGACAGTGAACTAAAGTAAGAGAGTAGAGGTAGGAAAACATGCTGGAGGGAGGAGTGATACATCCTCCCTCGCCGAAGATCAGAGGCTGACTTAGTTGTTGTTGTTAAAGATTCGCTACCTGGAACAAAAAGTCTCAAGTGGCACAGGCTATGGTGAGCCCGTAGTGGCTGACTTAGTGGGGAAGCCCCCGAGCCTCACAACCGGGGCGGCGACTAACCCCCCCCCCCCCTCCAGCAACTTGTTGAGACATATTTTCAGAGTGGCCTCGCCCAGGCTGGGGGAGGACCGTCGCCACGGAGGAGTTTATTTTCTGTAAATACATGTAATTATGTTTTGTTAGAAAAACATTTTTATTGGCATGGTGATGGAATTGCAGGTTTGTGTGGGAAGGAGTTGATGAAGGATCTTCGAGGTTAGAGAAGAAGTTAATGTAGGAACTTCGAGGCAGGAGAAGTGTGTGCTGAACTTTGTGGTAGAGCAGAACTCTATAGTGAGGAGTTGACTTCAAGCAGTGTAGCTACACGTGTCTCTGTGGCATCAGTGGTGAAGCGTCACTGATG